CTGTATAACCTTCCACGATTGGCTTTGCTCCCCCGTAGCATAAACATAGTTTCGAACTACCCTTCAGGTATCGAAGTATCCATTTGACTGCTTCCCAATGTTGTTTTCCCGGATTAGCTAGATATCTACTCACAACACCGACAACATGAGCAATATCTGGTCTTGTACACACCATTGCATACATAAGACTTCCTACGGCTGAGGAATAGGGGACTGCCTTCATCTCTTCTTTTTCTTTCTCAGAAGATGGACAATTTTTCTTACTCAACTTGAAGTGGTTATCCAAGGGCGTACCAACGGGCTTGGCATTTTCCATGTTGAACCTTTTGATCACACGTTCAACATACTCTTCCTGTGATAAGAACAATTTTCTTGATTTTCTATCACGGATAATTTTCATGCCCAATATCTGTTGTGCTTGGCCTAAGTCTTTCATATCAAAGAACTTAGACAAATCCTTCTTCTAGTTGTTGATCATCATTGCATCTTGGCCCACTATCAACATATCATCCACGTAGAGCAAAAGGATGACAAATTTCCCATCTGGAAACTTCTTCAGATAGACAAAATGGTCTGCAACAGTTCTCTTATACTCATGATTCATCATAAATGAATCAAACTTCTTGTACCACTGCCTTGGGGCTTGCTTAAGACCATAAAGGCTCTTCTTTAATTTACAGACGAGATGCTCTTTCTTTGGGACTTTAAAGCCATCAGGTTGCTCCATGTATATTTCTTCATCCAAATCACCATGGAGAAAGGCTATTTTCACATCCATCTGCTCAAGTTCAAGATCTAGACTGGCAACTAATCCGAGTACAACTCGAATAGACATCATCTTCACAACTGGCGAAAAAATTTCATCAAAGTCGATTCCTTCTTTTTGTTGGAAACCTTTGACAACGAGTCTCGCCTTATACTTCATAGTATTTCCCTTGCCGTCTTTCTTCAACTTGAAAACCCACTTGTTTTTCAAGGTTGTCTTTCCTTTGGGGAGGTTTACCAACTCATATGTTTGATTCTTCTGCAAAGAATTCATTTCTTCTTCCATGGCCTTCTACCAATTTGCTTTGTCAATATGAGATTGAGCTTCTTGAAAACTCTCTGGCTCCCCCTCACTAGTAAGAAGGATGTAGTTTGAAGTCGGATATCTTGTTGATGGAGCACGTACTCGTTCGGATCGTCTAACTTGAGTTCCTTCGTTTGCAACTTCTGGCAGTGGATCTGAATTATCCAGGGGTGGAAGCTCCCCCTGCTCAACACCTTCTTGATCTGCATCATCGAATTCTTCATCCACTTCTTCAGTGGAAACATCATCTTTATTTTTAGATATTATATCTGAAACTTTGGAGCTTTGTTGCTTGTTAACCGGTGCCTTGAAATCATAATACTGGTTTTCATAAAAAACCACATCTCTGCTTCGAATAACCTTATTTAGTTCTGGGTCCCATAGCCTGTACCCGAACTCTTCATCTCCATATCCAATAAAGATGCATGCAGTGGATTTGAGGTCCAATTTCTTCCGCAATTCACTTGATACATGTGCAAACGCTTTGCACCCAAATACTCTCAAGTGAGAATATGATATGTCTTTACCCGTCCATATCTTCTCCGGAACTTCAAAATTCAATGGAGCGGAAGGTGACCTATTTATTAGATAGCAAGATGTCAATACAGCTTCACCCCAGAATGGCTTTGGATTCTGGCTTGTCTCGGGCTGCTCTCGTAAGAACCTTCGGCAATCACTCCTTTTGTGGCCATAATAATTACAATGATTGCAATAGCCTTCGAACCATGTATTTGAAGATTTACCTCGCTCTCGCGATTTCCCTCGATCTCGTGATTTCCCACGATCTTGGGATCTTCCTCTACTTTGACAATGTCTACCTCTGCCTCTACCTCGACCTCGGCCTCCGGTTCTGCCTCCGCCTCTTTCTTTGTTTTCTGACACGAGGGCAAAAGACTGGTCTGTACCAGCTTCTTTCCTTCTGGCTTCCTCGTTCATTAGGGCATCTGTGACCATCTCCATTGTCACTTTACCACCGGGGGCAGAATTGCTGAGAGTCACAAAAAGCGTCTCCCAATAATCTGGTAGAGAACTCAAGAGCAATATGGCTTGTTCCTCGTCTTTGAGAACCCAATCAGCAGCACCGAGCTGGTTTACGAGATCCTGGAACTGACTCGTATGCTCGGTTATGGACGTACCACTTCGTAACTTGTGGTTTACAAGGCGCCTCATCAGCAAGGTCTTGTTGCGTGCCGTCTTTGCCTGATACATATTCTCGAGCTTCTCCCAAAGTTTGTACGCGTCTGTCTCTTGAGAGACATGATGAAAAACACTGTGGTCGATCCACTGTCGAATTTGTGCCACCGTTTTCCTGTTTATTCTCGTCCAAACTTCGTCTGTCTTCGTGTTGGGTTTGACGCCTTGCTTTTCTATAGGCTCTGCTAAATCTTTCAGATTAAGCAAATCTTCCATCCTTGGCTTCCACATGTTGTAATTTGTGGGCGTAAGTCGAACCATCGTAATCGTACTTGTAGATTCCATCGAAAATAATTGCAAATTTATTTTACAAATATTTCGTTGTAAAATTAGATAAAACCGAGCTCTCGGTTGGATTCGGAAGCGTCAAAAATGGTGGGGTAGAATTTTTCGGGCTCAAAATATACTTTCTTGAAAAGTTATGTGCTAATTTGTAACTTTTCAGAACTATAGGGGCTAAACTGTAATTTTCGAAACTTACAGGGGCCAATTTGAAATATTTCTGCCAACCAGGGATTTTTCTGAAACTTTTCAGAACTCCAGGGACCAAAACAGATGTTTTCAGAAGAACAGGGACTGAACTGCAGTTTTTCAGAAACAGAGGGACCTTTCTGCAATTTTCTGGAACTTCAGGGGCTAAACTGCAACTTCCTGAAATCCTGGTCAATGATGACCTCACTGATGACGTCACTCCTTCTTCCCCGGCAGTCTTCTCCGGCCACCTGGTTTTTCCGGCGAGATTTGACCAACTTTGACCAACGATTTGAGGGCCTTCTGGTGGTCAAAAAATTACAAAAAATATATCTTCGGAATCCTTGAAACAAGCCCTTTCCAACGGTGTACTCAAAAACGGATTTTGAGACAAAAAAAATTTGACGAAAAAACAGAGAAATTCGTAAATAATTCCCTGGACACCGAACCAAGCTCTGATACCAGTTGTTGGGGTTGGAAAACTCTTCTATTAAACACTAAAATAAAATTACAATAGGAGGAGCAACTCTCACACTCAACTATTACAAAAGACCAACCCTGTCACTAACACTCTCACTCTAAGTTTTATACCATTTGTGTCTCTGTATTTGGGATGCATACAACTGAAGAATGAAGTCTCTATTTATAGTCTTGGCAGCCACCATTGTAGTTGCGTCTATTAATTGTGTTCATCATAGGGTGGGGAGAAAAACTTGTCCCGTAGGTTTCATTTTGTCAACAATGATGGCTACTGTAGCTTTGGAGGCTGGAACACAACATTCTTCACTCTAAAAAAAGGTTGATGGTGGTTGGAGTTTCCATTTCAATCGTCAATTTTTTTTAATCTTTGGGGTAGGTCTGTTGATTTTAGGGCTGCCGTTTGAGAATGAAGATGATGAAAGGATTAAAGAGAGAGTTTGAGAATGAAGATGACGAAGTGATGAGAGAGAGAGAGAGAGAGATTTTTTAAAATAAGACAAAGCTTCATAAATTACGAAAATGCCCTGCAGTTAATGGACAAAACTTAACGTAGTGAACAATAAAGACCAAATATCAAATGTTTTGAAAGCATAAGGACCATCTGTGAAATTTTTTAAACTTAGGGAATAAACTTCAGATTTAAGAAAAGCACAGGACCATTTATACATGTTAAAACCCAACAATTTATAATTTACTTCGAAATATTATGTCATACTATTTAAACTACTGAATATGATATAGTTAAATAATTATATAAATAATATTTCACATTTTGTTAGACAGTCAAAATTTGCTAACACTCGATATCATAATATAAACGAATAATTAATTTTATATTGCTGTATATCCTCCCTAATAAATAAAGATCTTTTTGCCACATGTCACATTCTCATTTATTTTGTTACATGTAATTTTGTGGTTATTTTAAATTAATTTATATTCCACATGTCATTTTATGATTTTTTTCATTTATTAAATTCTAGATAGTATTTAAATGCAATAATAAATGCATATCAATTTTATTAATGAACTTTCCTTCAAATTTCAAAATTACCAAATTAAAGATTCATTAATTTTTCTTAATTTATTATCTAAATTATTTGTTTAAATTTAAAAGAGAAAAAAACACTTTAATTTTTATAATTCAATATTTTTTCACTTTTCTTATAAATTCATACTTATCAAATGTTTAGAATTTTATATTTAGTTTTTCTTTTAAATAAACTCACGTAATACATGAGTCTCATACCTAATATATTATATGGAAGATGTTTGGATATATGACATTATCTACTACGATAAAATTATGTTTATATATTTGTATTCATAAATTTTTATGCTGAATATTTTTACTGCACTTGGACCCCAACAAATATATGGATATTTGAATATAATTGTGAATATATATGGATATTTTTATTGGATTCGGATCCGAACAAATATATGGATGTTTGGATATATGACATTAACAACAAAGTCACATATTTATCTTCTTCAGATTTTTTTTGGCGAAATACTATTTTTTTTTTAAATAAAGGTTTTAAATTAACTTTCATTTTTCGGACACAAAACTGTTTAAATAAAATTTGAATATAAATGAATATCTCTGTAATAGTATTACAAGATTTAGTAAATTCAATTACAAACCTCCACCGCTACGGCTACATTGGGAAGCATATGTATCTCCGCTGCTGCTGAATTGAGCCCTAGAGAAACCTCATTTTCTCCCCTTTTCCCCCGATTACTCTCCGGTAACCTTACTCCGATCATCCTCCAATTCTTCAAGATGAAAGCTAGCGCACTACAGGTTTCTTCTTCCCACCTTCTTGTCTCAAATTCATCAATCTGGCTTTTTATGTACTTCTTTCTTTCCTTTATGTAATTTTGAGGATCGTTGATGTGAAATGTATTTCTTATGTGCTTGCAAGTCGACGTGAACGTGTATATCAATTGGATCGTAATTTAGTTTATGTAATTTCATTTCGTATATAGCTAATCGGTATATAGCTAATCAGATGAGTTGATGCATGTTAGTTCTTATATATACATGGCCAATTGATTACATACTTTTGATATGTATAACTGCTAGATTACAACCGTTGGCCTCCATTTTAGAATTTATGTTAACTCACATTTGTGCGGGTGCATGAAGATGTGTACCTTCTTTTCAATCCATTTTCAGTGGAGGTAGATTTCTCTTTTTGGTCCTTCCAGTTCCTGGAAAAGGAATGTTTAATCATCAATTACCATTTTTTTTTAAACAGCAGTCTGCGATGATGCTCTTAGCAAGAGGCTTAGAGGAGTTAAAAAAATAGTTACAGATACATGATCTAATAGCAGTTTTAATTAGGATTTTTTTTAATCCACTCAGTCCACCATATTCTACTCCCTCTACATCGGTTCCATACCCACTTGTAAGAATGCAGTACAAAAGAGTCGAAAAGGACAACTTTGAACACCATCACATTTTTAAATGACCATAGTGTCCAAAAAGTACAGATGATCACCATATCCAGAAGCTTATCAGCTTTCTTATTTGACAAATTACCAAATTATCACACTTTTTTCAGACAAATATAGTTTGATATTTTTGGAAGATAGGGATATAGGAGGAAGGAATACAAAAAGATTTTATGCTAACATAGCTTTTGGAGATGAATGTTCAAACTGTATAGTTGATATAACGAATGTAGGGTTTAGGCATGGAAGACATGCAGGGTTACCTGAATCTGTCAAGAAGGTCAAGTGTCTAAATTAGGGAAACAACCTTTTTTAGAAACATGCAAAGGAATTGTAGCTCCTGGAAGTCGAGATATATCTTTACAACAAAAATTTCATTTCAATTCTACTTCTCCCCTCTCCACTCGAACCAAGACTTCTTGTATTTATAGTGATTTACATATCTAACCCAATAATAGGGATGCCGTATCATTATGGAAAAGATCTATGCATGATTTGGACTTTCATTGTGTAGATCCATTAATTTTGTTTTGCATTTTTGCCTAAATTTCATTGGGTCCTAGGTGATTACTCAATATCACTATTTCCAGCGATTTAATCTATTTTTGTAGTCCCGTATTTAGTGATTCACTACTGGACTTCTATATCGAGAATCACGAAAATCAACAACAATGCTATCCAAAGAATGAAGGAAAGGAAAAATATTGATTTAGAAATTTTTCTATATTACAAAGAATTAATTAAAAAGATACGCGAGTGGTTATAGACTTCTAATTTTGGAATAAAAAGGACTTATCTAAAAAGATAATCTTTATGTCTCAAGGTAGAACCTTGTAAAGATAAAAAAGCTTTAGGAAACAGTCTGTAATTAGCCTGAAATAATTCCTAATTTAACAAATTAATTAAATATTTTACACTCGCCTCAAGTTGGGTATGTGGATCAGACATATCCAGCTTGCTTTGCATAGTGTACGTGTTAAGTTGTGGAGACTGATTCATCTCTTTGACCCTATAGCAGCTAGGCAGACCAAACAATTGGGTGCCCTAGGAAGAAATTTTTTGTGGGATAGTTCCTATATCAGATTTCGTCATGGACTCATGGGCAAGATTTGTAAACTTTGGGCTTGGTTTTATTAACAGTTTTAGGTCAAACAAGTAATATTAATTTATATTCTTTGAATTCGTGTAACCTAATGTATTAGAAATCCATTCGTCACAAATCAATAAAAACTCTCTCTCGTGTTCGTGCCTGTGGACGTAGCTGAAGATCCTGTTTGTGTGAACCACATAAATGACCGTGCCTTATTTTTCGTTTTGCATTATTACTTTGTTTTTTTGGAATCGTTGAATCGTTTGTTGAAGTGCTTAAACCCTAACTGATGTTGATCTTTATTCTTAGATTGACCAATATCTAACAGGTTTATAACTCTGTTCATGATCTATTTCCTTGCTAGAGTTTTGTTTAATGCAATCACTGTTAAAAAAAAGTGTTGAACTTGATTATTGGTAAAGATTTTGTGAGTTTAATCGGTTGGGATAAAGGACAATTCCACAGAGATTGTTTAGTTATTGCCAATAACAAGTAGTGCGATACAGTAACTTGACAAAGATTGGTTCTTTCCTTCTTGAATCAATTTAGTGGGGTGATGAATTTATTTCTATGCCTCTTTGGCACAAAATAAGACATTCCTTTGGAATGGCCAGATTCTATTACAATTTACAACAGTTAATACTAGTAATTCGGATAAGTTATGAATAATAATTAAGGAATCTTAACTTCATTTTTGTTTTTACTAGAAAAATACAAACTAAAATAAATTATCTACCATTTGATTATTAGTTATTTTGGAGTTAAATATACTCATCGATGGAAGTAGACATTTTCTAGTTAATTATATTTGTTTTTCCTTGTATTGCTGCTTTCAAAAAAGGTAATAATGTATTATTTTGAAACAGGAGTCGATGGAGAGAGCAATGAGAAAATGCAGGGAAGAGTCTGAAGCTGGATGGAAGATCAGGGAAAAGAAGGTGGACTACTCTTCCTTTCTTACAGATGACATTCTTATTGATATCCTGAGAAAGCTTCCTACTGTTATCCTTCGTTATAAGGCTAGGTTTGTCTGCAGAAGATGGTTCAATATAATTACTAACAAAATCTTGATAGAACATGCTTCTTTCATCGTCCAGAGGTCAAGTGGACCTCACACAGCAATTCAGGTGGTTATAAGGGAAGAAAAACAAGGGCTGGAAATGGAACAACAACATCTTGACATACCTTACAAAGGCCGGATAAAGTCTTGGTGTAACGAGTTCCTTTTAATTGTGGACCCCAACAGACACGAATCTTTGTATGTTTTCAATCTAATGACTAAGAAAGGATTATATCTTCCTTGGTGTGGAACATCTTGCGGGGGACACTATACCATCAAATGTGGAGTGGCCCTTGCCTTCGATGGATTCAAGGGAGTATACAAGGCCATTCACATATTTATGGGCCCACCAATCCAGTGCAAGATTATTGAATTGAAAAGAGATATTACCTCTGGTGTTTCCTCGATGTGGATTAAGATTGAAGTGCCTTCATATGATATGGGTGAAGGGCAATATTATTGGGGTAACCTGGTTTCAGTTCAGGGCAGGTACTTTCACTGGGATGTTCATTGTTCCAAGTACCTGGTTTCTGTGGACATGGTGAAAGAGAAAATTTTCCAAATCCCCCTACCAAAATGCAATGATGATCGAGTGGGAAGCCAATATTCTCTTTTTGATATGGGTGGTTTCCTTGCTCTCCTTGATAACGATTCTTGGAATCATGCTGACTTATGGATTCTTAAAGATTTCCAGAGGATGAAGTGGGAGAAGTTGCACTCAATACGTGTCTCGAGCTATGTGAACAAAAGAATATATCCTCCTATAGTTTTTAATGCATATCCTGTATGTAGCGTTAAGAGATATCTCATCTTCAGGAAATCTAGATCCATGCCTGGTTTGTTGAGTTATGATCTGACAAATCAAGACTTAAAAAAGCTCAACATCCTTTGTTTAAATCGTGAACATTGCGTGGTTCATTCAGCAGCACCAAGTTTTCTGTAAGTCAGGCTTACATGCAGAAAAAAATATAAACAATAAGTGGAAAATTTAACAGCATAACAGAGGATCGGATGTGTTGTTTTCGATATAGTGTAGGATAATGGAAGTTATAATTCCTTTTACTACCTTGGATCATGTACGACTGCAAATGATACTTGTACTCTGTGTTGTTTGACGGCCTTGTTTCATGTAAATGTGATAAACATCTCTAAGGATTTTTCCTAAATTGGTTTGAGTGTTGACGCATGCATAATTAATGTGACAAAACATCCCCTCGCCCGCCATATAGTTAGGATCCATGACACAGTTGTTTCTTTATACCATTCCTTCAATTCCGATGGAAAATTACATATTAGACTTTTTAAATGTCACATAAATTAAGTTTTTGTGCCTTAATTAAATCTTTGATTTCCACCGAAACACCACCATCTTGGCACCATTGCAGATTCCTCCACCTACACCACCACTTCATTGGTGGTTGAGTTGTTCCCCTTATCCAGCCCTTATACCTATGGATTAAGTGCTTAATGGGTTGGGATGGGAAGCCTAACCCTAATCACCTTTTAGTTATGATTTATGTAAATGTTTCTCGTTGTTGTTCCATTTTTCAAGCCTTGATCTTAATCCATTAAGAAGCTCTTATTAGTTAATACACATCTGAATAATCATGTTTAGAACTTATATCTTACTGAAATTAATGGTTATGAGCTTAATAAATAAGTTCTTAATGGATGAGATAAAAAGGTAACTTAATCAAAAGAAAATATTGTGAATCTATGTGTTATGCCATGTTTTGTAAAAATCACCATTAATTCTACAAAAATAATTTAAGGGTGAGACCAGGAGCTTGGTATGAATGTCTATTTCCTTCCATCCAAAGGGCTTAACCTGTTTCTAACCACAAATATGATAGAAAAAGCAATTTTTGTAGACTGGTCTAGAAAGTCCATTGATTGTGTTAGTCTACTTGTAAAATCCAAAAATCAAACAAAAATGTTGTGAATTCAAAGAAATCAAAGATCAAATATCTAAGAAGTGAAGAATTCCAAAGAGCTCCATTGTTGTATCAAAAGTTGTAATTTTTCTAGATTATGTATGATTGGGTAGCTTGACAAAAATACCTTAAGGTTAAGAAAGATTTCTGAGGATTGATTCAGAGGGTTGCAGAAATGAGTGTCGTATAAGCTAAGGGGCGAAGGTTCATAATGATTGTGAGTAACTAGGATTGAGAAGTTATTAGGAGATTTAGACACAAATATGTGCATTGCGGTCTTGGTATAATGGTTGAGTTCAAAATGGATTGTTCTATGTGATATTGGTGATGAAAGTTGAATTAAAATAATTAGTTTTGCTTGAGGGCAAGCAAAAGATAAGTGTGAGGTATTTGATATTGCCATATTTATACATATTTTTAGGCAATATTCGAATGCATTTTGATTATTATTTTGGTTATTTGCATAGATAAGTGCTACTTATAAGATCTAATTACATTTTGCAGCCAACAGGAGCAATCTTGAAAAACAAGGACTAAAAGCGACAAGTGATGGAACTTTGGAGGCTTGGAGAATTAAAGAAAAGGAAAACCCACGGAAAAAGATGAAGCCACGTCGTGGACTTCACTTACGCGACGTGGCATGGACAATTCTGGAAGATGAGTACACGGAAAGTCGAAGTCCTTGCCCGATAAGGATTCATCCAATTTCACGACATGGAGTTCGAAAATCACGAAAAGTATATATATCCTTGATGTTTACGAATTTAGAGGATGGATATACATTAGAGGGTTCTGAATACGAATTCTAGAGGAAAATTAGGAGAGAAATCAAGCTTTGGCATCCAAGGAAGGAGAAGAAGAAGATCATAACTTTATTCTTAGTTTGGTACATTACTATGTTTTTAATAATGAAGATTGTGTGTTTGATTGCTACTATGCGTAGCTAAATCTAGCTGCTTCTGTTTAGCTAGATGAAGCTTGAACTCATGGATTAGTTTTATGATTATGGATTTTTCTTGTTGGTTGAATGCTTGTGTTTGATGGTTAATACCTAGCATGTTAGAAATTGATACTTAAATTGTTTAAACTCATGTTCTGTGTAGCCTAGTGAATATTAAATTGCATGAACTTGACACTTAGCTATTAGGTGTCAAGTTCATGCAATTTAATATTCACTAAGCTACACAAAACATGAGTTTAGGCAATTTAAGTATCAAATTCTAACATGCTAGGTATTAATCATCAAACACAAGCATTCAACCAACAAGAAAAATCCATAATCATAAAACTAATCCATGAGTTCAAGCTTCATCTAGCTAAACAGAAGCACCTAGATTTAGCTACTCGTAGTAACAATGAAACACACAATCTTCATTATTAAAAACATAATAATGTATCAAACTAAGAATAAAGTTATTATCTTCTTCTACTCCTTCCTTGGATGCCAAAGCTTGAGTTCTCTCCTAATTACCCTTTGGAATTCGTATTCAGAACCCTGTAATGTCTAGCCAACCTCTCTGCGAGAGCAGGAATGAAGAGCTTAGGAAAATAGTATGTAAAATACACCTAATAGTATTCTTAGTTTGGTACATTACCTACTATCCTAATAGCTATTTGGTGTATTTTAAATACACCTAATAGCTACACATCAACAACCACCTCAACAAAGAAAACATTTTGATATGTGCATATCCACCTATATATTTTACATCATATCTTAATATTATTTGCTATATTTATGCTTATTATAGAACCAAAGGTACTTATTATGTTTAATATTTGTTATGTAGCATAAAAGACATTCTCAGAAGCAATATGGAAGCTGGAAGCAGGAATGAAGAGCTTAGGCAAGAAGAAGACACAAAAAGAATGTTGTTGGACAGCTTGACCCCTTGTCAGTATTTTGGTCATATCTCATGACTCGTAACTCCGATTGACGTGATTCGAAATGATCTAAAAACTAAACACAATTTCAGACGACTTTCATGTTTTGAGAAAAAGCTGATTCTCGATAACCACAACGTGGTGATCCAACTACGACGTGGTGAATGGAATCTTTGCGATTCTTGGCACTGACTTGGAGAATACAGGATAAACACGAGGACCACGACGTGGTGCCCTTACCATGTCGTGGTGGCCAGATTTTAGGCAAATATATATATTCGAACATTAGGATGAATTGGGGGACTTGTAGGTGACCTTTTGGAGAAGTATTACGAAAAAAAAACCTCTGGAAAACCCTTAGAAGAGGAGGAAACAATTGGAGCTCAAGAGTTGAAGAGATCTAGAAGAAAACATCATCAATTCATTCGGTTTGATCATGTCACTTTCCATGAGCTTGTGTGTTTGATTTTAATTATGAGTAGCTAAACTTCTTTACTTTCGTTTAGTTAGATGAAACCCCAATAACTATGGTTTAGTTTATTAGTTTATGGATTTATAAAAGTTGGTTTGGAGCTTGTGTTTGATTAACTTACCTAGCATGTTAAAGTGTTTCTCTTTGTTGCTTTAATTCAAGTTAAGTGTAGCTTAGTGACCATTAAATTACATGAACTTGTTTACCTAGTGATTTAGTGACCATTAAATTGCTAGAGCTAGGATTGACCACATCTTAGTTAAGTGATAAAAGTAACAATTTAACTGTGTTAGAGAACATAATTGTGACCATAATTGTGTTTAACAAATCTTACATAGCCCAATTATAATTAATAACTAATTTTGTGTTTGCTTGTGTAGGACCTTACAAAGTAGTACATGAATTGGTGAAAATATTAGTAGATTTGACCAAATTTCTAATTACATATAAATTGGTAACCAACTTTATTAATCCATAAATAAGAGCTAACCATAGGAAAAAGGAGGATTCGAAACTAAACGAAAGTGTTTTTAATATATTGATTACAACCATTTTTGTTGAGTGTTTAAGTTTGTCTGAACTTGCAAAATCAGATAAAAACCTTTTTAATAATTGTTTTATTTTAGATTAATTTAGAGTAATTATTTTAGTTAATTAAATTCGTTCCCTGTGTTCGACCACAACTTACTTTACTACACTACAATCCGACTAGGTACACTGCCTAGGTGCATTTTAGCTAGTTAAGTTCGTTAGGTTATAAACTTAAAACTAGTGGGTAATTTAGCACCACATCAGTGATCATATAATCCTCCATTCTACAAGATATCATTCGGACATGAGACATGAAACATAATCAATCTCATTGTCCAATACTTTGTTTCCCGATTTCTGATTTGTAATGATATAGAAATTCTAATCGAACACATCAATTTAGTCCTGGCCGGGCCCGACACTATAAGTCAACACCCAATCACTGAGGGGCCCAAAGATATTGCTTTTCCCATTAAGGAAAAAGGAACGAATAAACTTTGACTTAAATGCTTGCACCATTTACTCATCAGATCATGCACAATAATACATTTTATAACATCAAGTTACTGATGTGTTTTCGTATCATCAATGCACAACTTATTTGTAAATCACAACTCATATATCTCTGTTTCAAGATTATAAGATGTTATCATCTCAGAATTACTCGTGATAAATTCCATGAAGTAATTCTCTAAGCGTGAGTTAATCCATTACTTAAATCTCCATTTCAAAGTACTCATGAAGATTGCAGCGATACCATTGCTATGTCTAAAACTCTTTAGACAATCTATAATTTAATTCATGACAATCTTAATCCACCACTTACTTCCAAAAGTATCATCGACTGTGGAGTTTGAATAATCAAATTATTTGGGAAGTAAAACATGCAAAAATGAAACACAATAATAAACAATTGACAAAAGGTAGTAAACAAACTCATAAATAATTCTCTATTATTTAATCACCAAAAGTCAATTACATTTACCTTGTTACAAGTTTCAACTACCTATCTAACTACTAAAACTAATATCATCTCTCAGACCAATGCTCCTAGCATGCTGAATGTGTTTGACCCTAATCAGACCCTGTGTGAGGGGATATGCAGGATTCTCTTATGATGAT